CTTCGAAAGACTTGTAAAGATCAAAACAACGGCTGTCAATTAGAGCAATCGTTCATAAAGTCATACACCCTAGCATTAGCATTTGTCATTCCACTGAATGATTAAAAATTTGAGGTAACTCGATGAGTGCAATCTTACCTGCTGCGGATTCACGTCTTGCATTGAATGAATTATGTAAAAGAATGTCCTTATAATCTCATAAACTCGGCTATGAAAGTTATGTTAGATTGTTCTAAGATCATATGATTGAGAACGTATCTGAAGTGACAATGATACTCACATATACATTGTGCCATAAATTTATTTTATGCCTTTATTGGAATGCTTTACTATCAGATGCTCCACAGAGTAAGCTCCAGTTTAATACCGTAACTTAGGTAACTACCATCTGCCGTGTCAGGTAGACGCCTCAGTTCCCAGCAATCTTAGTTGTCAATTGTTTCATGTAAATCGTTATGTATACAGTGCAACATTTACATTCGGATACTATCAGCTCCTTAAGAAATTCAGTGCGATCTTCTATCTAAAGAATCCTGCGATGAAGTTTTATTAGTGGTCTATCCCGACTAATCGTCATCTTCAGAGGCCTAAAATGGGAAAAGATTGGTGATCATCAGTTCATGAGAAATTTGGTTTAGCAAAATTTAGCTCTTTATGAGGTAGTCCTAAATCAGAGATTGTTCTGCAATAGCGCAGATGTGAGCAATCAACAATCAAGATTGGAATTTTTTGAACTATTAGTTGATTGAGATGAATCGACGCGACAAGTAATTTATCATTTTACCCTTTTGATCAAATTAATAATTGATTGAGCAGTCACGTGAAGTTAATGGCCTGATACACTGTTGCAAAACAGACCATCTATCAAAAGTACCTGCTAATGCAGTAAATGCCAGTTTTAATTTGTAACATAATTATGTCTATGGATTTTGGTCTTAAGTTCTGCAACACTTGCCATGACGCTGCTATTCGCTTTCCAAACTTGCAATCTGAGCACAGTTGATACAAGGACATGTTTTTTTGGTTTGTTACTGTCGATGCCTGTCATTCTTCCACAGCACTAAAAAATAATTCTCTATGCCTATTCTTGTACTAGAGAAACCGTGCAAAATATAATTTACTGCAGTAATTGATGTTCTCTTTTCTCTGGAAAAATTTTTTGGCAATGTCTTTGCTTGCGCTCACCAAATACCACAATCACATTGTAATGCGACGCCTAATTGTCTTTGCAGCCGGTGAAAAACGAGGTCTAAAAACTGCACCCTTCTTAACGTTACAACACTGAAGTGATATTTAGAAGATTGTTAGTCTGCTAATGGAGGGATTCCATTGGGAGAGGCTACAATGGAGCCGTTTAATCAAAATTAAGTGACTTAATCAGGCTGTGTTTCTCCCACAAACCTCTCTTCTTACTTACAAAAGTATTTTCCTATCCTTAATGAGGACTACTTAGCTGCAATGCACCTCAGACCTCATTGGATAATTTCGAAAAATACTTTATTAATCAGTGTGTTTAAAAAATTTTCAATGCTT